GGCCTGTGGCCACTTAGCAAGAGGTAAGGGGCATGCCAAAGCTAGATGCTATTTGTTTTGAGAGATTTTAGGCAAGTGTGAAGAAAGCATAAGCCAACACAGGCCATTTGTATGAAAATGCCACTGGAAATAGATTGGGTATGCCCACAAGTTGGGTGGGGTGGGGTTTCAGAGAATTACCAGGGCAGGCTAGCAGTGATAGCCAGGTTGATGGAGACTTAGGTGTGTTGCAATGTGGCTCCATGGGCGTAGGGTTTAGCAAAGGAACAATGGCCTCTGCCAGCACTTCTGTCTGGGAGAAAGCTGCCCTTCCAGCCCTGGCCCCAATGCCATACAATTCAGTCCCTCTTTGGATGTCCCTGGTACCTTTCAAGCTTCTGCCTCAGCACTGAAGTTCAGAGGAAGTGAGTCAAAGTCCTTGTGGACCCTTTAAGAGAAATAGCTGGGACTCCGTAAGCACTCTGTTTCACTCAGCCACAATCCCTACTGGTATTTACAGCCAGAAAATGTGGGGACTTTCTTCCTGGAACCCTGGGCTGGGGGGCCTGGTGTGGGGTTGGGACCCCTTACTCCTCAGTGAAGATCTCCTCAGCCAAGATATCCCTCCTGATTTTTATCAGCCATACGTGGGTGTGGGACCAGCCTGTTCTGTATCTCTGTCCCTTTTACCAGTGCTTTTTCTAGTTGTAGGACTTCCATTTAGAGAGGTGTCAGGTGGTTCTGAATGATGGTTGTTCTGAAGTTTAGTTGTAATTTTGATTTGCTTGTGGGAGAATGTGAGTATGCCACAATCATGACTAAATCTAATAAATTTACCATTTTAAGAGGTTTTGAGCTTAGCATTTTAATCTAGTGGATTTCTTAAAATATGCAAATGATTATCCGAAGGATGGATTAGTTGTTAAGCAGTATTTTCACAACTCAGATGGATCCCAAGCTCTGTCACAATTCTTTTTTTTCTTTTCTTTTTTTGTTCTGCTGTAATTCTTGATGTGGTGCTACACTCACTTTATTCCCCACAGGTTTTCTCTTCAGTGCTGGTCAATCAGTGTGAATGAACCAATCTAACATCCTAGAATCCCACAAAAGGGTCACACTCTTTTACTAGTGCACATATGTTGCAATCAAGAAAAATATATATATATTTTAAGGAATAATAACCCAATAACAAAAAAGGTAATAATGTAAAATAAACCATGTAAATGTTTATACTACATTCTATAAAGAACTCTAGAATTAGAAGAGACCTTAGGAAAAAAATCTAGATTAATCATTTGAACCAAATCGTGCCTGCTAGGTTCTTTCTCTCAGTTTAGCATCAAGGCTAAATGATTAAGCCTCTCTGTAAATTCTCAGGAGCCTCTGAGAAGTCACATTCAACCATGAATACAAGAAAGCAGACATAAAATGGTCAGCAAATAGAGAACAATGAAGCAAAAAAAGGCAAAGACTAGAGACTGGAAAAGTTGCAGGTTTTCCTGTCCCTGGTACCTAATAAGGTCTGTCTGCATTTGGCTCCCATCAAATTCCTTTCTTTCTTTTTCCTAAAACTAGTTCAAGTTCATTTCTGTTACTTGTAGCAGAAGCTTAAATAATGAAATAACCAAAATCCTCTATAAAGTCAATTGATTGATTCATTAATGGTCTATCTTTCCTATTCTTTTCTTTTTATTTGTATTTCCTTAAGAGTTATAAATATGACTTTGGTGTGCTACAGAGACAAATATGTGAACAGAGACCCAGGATTTATTTCAAAAGTAAAACCCATCATGCACAGGGAAGAGAAAATAGGAATATTCAAGTAAAACCCTTGAGATACTTTTACAGCAAACAGAGATGCTAACTAACAGCTGGCAAATTAAATAAATAGCTATCTGATTACCCTCCTATTGAAAGCCAATTTAATTCTGAATAAAAAGATGGGTAAGTCCAATTCAGTCTCCTCTGAGATATGATCAAAGGTGAAATTCCATATAAGGTATTTCATCTGGAATACTCACACACAAAAAAAGCCACAGTCCTCTCAATCATAGAAAGGTTTGGGTTCTCTCCAGTGGTATCCCTAACCCGGATGCAAATTCCAAAACTGAATACCAAACCATCTTAGGGCCTGGGTTTAAGAGCTGTTAGGCATTTACCCTGTGATGTAACTAGCACTTCCTGGTATCAGGAAGACATTCACAGAAGCTTAATATTATAGAACTCTGTCCAGGTGTGTGTGCGTGCATGTGCCAGGTATTAAGACATTCCTGAGGCAGATCTGGGCCCCCTAAAACTGGACCAACACCCATCAGACTACAAGCAGACCAGTTTAGCATGTACAGCAAGTCAGAGTTGACAATCAGAAGTCTGAATCAATGTAGTGGGTGGCTCTGCAGGATTTTATAAACAAAAACAGTATTATAGGATCCTGAGGTTAGAAGGGACTTGGGAACTATATCCAACTTCATCATTTTACCAAGAAGCAAGTTAAACATCAGAACCAAAGTCATCAACTAAATGCCTAACTACAATGAGTATCAAAGGTGAGACAACATCAAAGGTACTGTGATCAGATTAGGATAGACCCTAAAAGCATGTGGTTCATTATTTCAACTTTATTTACTAACGTTGCTCTTTAATAGTTGAAATTTTATTTTTAATTTTTAAAAAAGGATAAGTGAGTTAAAAAAAAATCCATAAAAACTACTTGTTGGGGCAATTTTTTGATATTTTGTTACTTGATTTTAGCAGAAGAGTAAAGATTTCTAACCTATTGAGTTAACATTTTAGTTAAGATATTAGAGCAAGCACCTTTAAAAGCCAAATAATGGGTGTGGATTCTAAACCTAAATGATATATGCTTGCAACCTTGGCAGACAGGCGGTTTAGGCACTGTGACAACATTCTAAATGGCAGAGAGATACTTCTGATTTTAATACCAAAAAAAAATTGAGACATGCACATAAGGCATTAATGAAAGTCACCAGAAATTAGACTTATATGTCAGCTGGGACCAAAATCAAAAGAATAAATGTTTAAATCATTTAAATATAAACTTGATGTTCACAATTGCTGGCAAGAGGCCATAGTATGGTGGATTTTTTCTTCAAGGGCTGTTTACTACAGTAAACAGTATTAGGTAAGTCAACATATCACTGAGGTTAAAAAAAAAAAAAAAAAAGCATACATCTATTTCCTGCACAATCCACTATTTATAGTGCAGCACAGTATTTTTTTAGACCATTGATAAAATGTAGTTAGAACTTGTTGTATTTCCCAAGAAGTGCTATTAAAGTTACTCCTAAATTATGAATTCATAAAAAGTAGGTCTCTTTTTTAAATATATTTTATTAATTTTTTACAGAGAGGAAGGGAGAGGGATAGAGAGTTAGAAACATCAATGAGAGAGAAACATTGATCAGCTGCTTCCTGCACACTCCCCACTGGGCACGAGCCAGCAACCAAGGTACATGCCCTTGACTCGAATCGAACCCGGGACCCTTCAGTCCTCAGGCCGACGCTCTATCCACTGAGCCAAATCAGCTAAAGCAAAAGTAGGTCTTTTTTAAAAACAATATTAACCAGAAACAAATATGAAATTGATATTACTTAAATTAATATTTTTAATTGCACATTTAATAAAGTATTAATATTTTTGAACCTCCCATTAATCTGAATTGACAATTTATAAGTTACATAATCCTAAAGACTTTTTATAGGAAAAACTAACTTTTAAAACCTACTTTGCCAACAACACTGCAAATGGAAAAACAGGAAGAGATAGCCAGAGTGCTGCATAGAACCTAAGCTTAAGAATCAGCTTTCAACTAATCTATCAGTCTATTTGTTAGTCATCTCTTATTTTCAACAGTTTAGTCTACGGGTGGTAAAAACAAAACAAAACTAAAATTTCTTAAGGAAATCTCAACTCTGACGATTTACAACTTCTGTCCCTTGGAGCCAGATAAAATTAACAACTGAGCTCTGATAACCAGGTACTGATAACAAAATAGAAAAGTTCATGCACTTTCACATTTACCTTAAACTCTGAATTGGTGCTTTCACATAACTAACTTTTATAATAATCGTATATTAAAACACACACAAAAAAAAACACTCATTGAAATCTGCCACATGGTTTAAAGAAAACTATCCTGAAAGATTGTTCTAAGAATTCAAAACTGCCCAACTTGAAAGCCTCCAGTCCTAAACCAAATAATGGAGTGGCACCTTTCGTTCCTATAGTTCCGCTTGAAATAGTTAATGCCAGGGAAAACTTAAAAAATACGGACTTGGATGGGTTTTTTTCCGCTTAAAAACAAAACAAAACTGGTACCTGGCAAACTCGGGGTTCCCTGTGGTCCTGGCCTGGTAAGTGCCAGCCGGGCGGGCCCGCTGGAGCCTGAGCCGCCAGCGCGGAAGGGGCGGCTGCCAGGCGGTGGGTGCCCCCCTCGCCCGCCCCCGGGTCCCGGCGCTGCCCCCCGCGCCCCGCGCCCCTGCCCTCCCTCCCCGGCGCGCCGGCAGCGCGGGCCCGGCTGGCACCTTCCCACGCGCCGGCCCGTTATCCGAGCCGCCACCTCAGCGGGGCCGACCTGCGCGGAGCGGGGACCCCGGGAGCCCCGCCGACAGCCCCGCGCCCCCGGACCGGGCGGCACCCCTCCCCGCCTCCGGCCGCTGCCCCGCCCGCCCCCCTCCCGGGCCCCGCGCCCCGCGCCCGGCGAGAGCCCCGCGGGCTCAGGTTCGCTCCGGACGGATAAGGTGTCAGCGCGGCGGCCAGGCGCCGCCCGTCGGCGGGGCGATGCCAGCCCTGACCTGGTTCCCGCCGCCCCCGCCGCCCCCACAGCCCGCGGGGGCGCGACCCCCGCCGCCCTCCGCGACCCCCCGCGGCTGGGAGGGCGCCCCGCCGGGGGCTGAGGGGCGCACGGCGCTCGCGGGGGCCGGGGTCGCGGTCCCGCTCCAACTTGGCAGAATCGGGGAGGGCGGGAGGGGCGCGGGGGGCGTAGGGGAGCGCCACTCACCGGGCTGCACGGCTCCTCGCGCCGCCGCCGCGGCCAGGCAGACGCAGAGGCACAGCGAGAGGGGGCGCGGGAGGGTCCGCCGCGGGCTCATGGAAGGCGCAGGAGCCGCCGCCGCCGCCGCCGTCCGAGCCTCCCTCCCTCCCTCCGCGGCTCCGGGCGACGGACGGGGCGGCGGGAGGCATGACGGGAAATTCCTGGGCACGGGCCGCCGAGTCCAAATATGAGCAAAGGAGACAGCGAGGGAGGACGGCGAGCGCGCCCGCCGCAGACGGGGCCGGCTGCCCGGCCTTGGCGGCCGCCAGCTCCCACCTCCTCCTCCCGTTCCTCCTCCTTAGCCGCCCAAGGATGACCCCGGGGAGGGAAGCCGCTGCCCGGGGCACCCCTTTCCAACATGGGCGACCAAGGGCACAGCCGAGCATCCCACCCGCGGATCCCACCTGAGACCCCTGGGAGGGGGGGGGGGGGGGAGGGGGAGGAGAGGCGCCCCCACCAGGAGGCCGGACAGCGAGCCGGGGGCCAGGGGGAAGGGGTGTGAGGGTTTGGGGAGACTCTTGCGCTGCCCCTCATCAGCTGTGAGCTATGGTAGCGAGGGGGTGAAGGATTTGGCAAGTACTTCTCTTAAAGTGTGGGAGGGTGAGACTGGAGTCACACTTCCAGTTATGCACCCACTCAGGTGAGCCATCCTGGGGACAACAAGCAGGCATTATAATACTTAAAACCACCTCCTGCATCCCAGGTGAGGGGCCTTCTGCACCAGGTGTGATGTGGGGCGTGTGTGCGTGTGTGTGTGTGTGTGTGTGTGTGTGTTTGTGTGTGTGTGTGGTATTGTATGCGTGTTTCCTTAGCCAGAATTACAAAGGAGCTCTTCCAAATTTATATCTGAACACCATATATGGAGTTGAGGCAGGTTGAGGGACAGTAGTTGTTCACACTACTTAAATGCTGTTGTGTAGACCTGCCGTTCTTTCTGCCTCCAACCTCTTTTCATCTCCCTTAAACCAGTCCTGTACTTACTGTAGCTTGTCTTAAGGGCAATGTTGAAATTTAGTCAAAAGATGCTACCTCTCATGGTCAAAATGTCAATCCCAGATGTGCAATTACAGGCCTAAGCCAGTAGTACCCTGACTTTTCTTTGGCACTGATAACTCCTCCAGGAACCAAGTCCAAATGACCCTTAGCTTTTTAAGACAACATAATTATGTCTTAATTACTGTAATTTATTTATTTCACTCACACTAATGGGGACAGGCCCTGGGGATGTAGGATGTTATGTAATTACTTGAGAACATTTTAAGATGCTACAGAAATGATTTATTGATGCAGAATACTTAAGGGGTAAATGTCAAACAGATTTAGAGCATGGGTTATTCTAACATGAACTAAAGAATGGTAATTTGTACATCACACTGTTTGAAAATGCTACATATATTTGAAAATTATAAATTTTATTTCAAAACAAGTTTCATTTTGGCAAAGTATTAAGGCCTATATGCCAAAAACCAGTCCATTTGCAAGTGGCTCCCCTTAAATCATCTGTTACTGAGAAACACCACAGCCCTGGCAAGGGGACAGAGTTCCCCTTAATGTACTAGCAGTAACAATGGGACTAAAGGCCGATGACCCAAGTCAACTAACAGTCAATAAACTGATCTGGTAGATATGGGATTTATTCAACTCGGGTATCTAGAAGCTGGGTAGTTGGAAAGGGATACTCAGGAAACTTTTGCATATTACCTCCCTTTCCTCTTTTTTTGTATATTTAACTATGTTTTTATATAAGCATCTGTTTTTCTTAGTTTTCCCACAACACCTCGCATAGTTCTTTGTCCATAATGTAACTATTTATTTAAAAACAACAGTAAAGTGAGCACGGTCGTTTGTAGATTGACATAGACTAGTAGGGGCTCCCTAAGTGTAAAGAAAAGCTTGCTTCAAATGATTGTCATAATTATGGCTATATTTTAAATATTTTGGTTGACCTTAAGTACAAAAATGTAAAATTATAAAGCATGCAATCTCATGGCAACCTAATTCGTGTTAATACAATTGGAGAGTTAATGAGTTGGATCAACTCTGCTGACCTCACAGGAAGCAATACCAGCAGCTATTCTAAAGGCCTGAAGAAGTATATTAAAGAGAGGATAAAGAACTCAAGTTACTAGGTGAATAATAAGTGCCAGGCACTATGCTAAATCTTTTACACTTGGTGTTTTATTTAAGCCTTACAGATATCTCTGACTTATTTTTTTATCTTTATTTTACAGGTACAGAGACAGAGGCATAGATAAGTGAATGATGCTACCAGGAAGGGGTGAAATGCAAAGTCCATATTAATTTCACTCTTCTACCATCCGAATCTGTCCCATTTCCTCTACAACTTGAAAAGAAAGCAGCATTCAAAAGCTGTATTCTTTGGTTTTAAGTAAGTGGTGTGCACTCAGGTTACCTCAAGCAAAAGGGGTAAAGAATACATGTGGAAATAAGACCAGAGACTCAACCGGCTTGTCAAGTCATCTTTTGTGGGCCTGAGGGTTGGGATCCGTGCCTTTGATAGATACCAGGAACTAGAAAGGCTCTACCCTCTGACCACATTCCTGGGAGTTTTATAAATTTAACCACTGATATTCAAATCACATATTTCACCATGTTTTCTATAGTGTCTTTTTTTTTATTATTATAATCTTAATAGCAATCATGCTAACATATTACCTTCAACACTTTGTTTTTAAGACAGAGGGCCCAGAGGAGGTAACATCTTTCCCTGCTTTCTATTATATATACCACCCCTTCCCCAACCTAGTGGTGTGCTAGTAATGGCTTAACAACTAGTTCTGGAGGAGGGAGACCTGAACTGTCACACACACAAAAGCAATTACTGTGGTGTCAATACTCCCACCAATCTGAGTCTCTGCAGAGGTGCCCACCGCCAGCTCTCGGGCCTGTAGGACCGGCCCCAGCACACCCCTGCCCAGCTGCTGGCGAAACGTCTCAGAACACAGCAGTCATTCCTGTTCCACAACCGTGGCTTCTCCCACCTCTGCTCCCACGGCCAGCTGCCGTTTCTCTCTCTGTAGCTCTAGAGGTGAACACTTGATTCTATCACCTTGTCCCTCGGAAAGTTCTTGCATGAGACTGTGACGTAAGCCACTGGGCATCCTGATGGGCTCCTCTGAGCCAGGTGACCTCTCCTCCTTTGACTGTGGCTGGGATGACAGACTCACATGTTACACAATGCAGTCGCCTATGCAAAAACAAAACAAAACAAAGAACAAAGCCCAGACTGGCTGTGGGTCTACCTTTCTAGGAGCAACCTCTTTCAAAGGGCATCTGTGAGCCCGACAGGCATGCAAGCTCTAACCTCTCTAACATATGTTCTCCGTTCTTTAATGATATCCCTCAGCCACTTCACAAAGCTTTGGGACAGCCCCCACCCACAGCCCCCAAGGAATATCTTGATTGGATGCCAAAAACTGCAAGCAGGAGCATGGGCCTACTAGGTCTAGATACTAAGCCCCAGTCATGGTGAAAAACCCCTAAGTTAGTACTAAAATTCAAGTGCCACTTTCTTTTAAAATATATATTTTTTAATTGATTTTTAGACAGAGAGGAAGGGAGAGGGAGAAAGAAAGAAAAACATTGATGTGAGAGCGGAACATTGACCAACTGCCTTCTGTATGCCCCCTACTAGGGATGGAGCCAAGGACCTGGGCATGTGCTCTGACCAGGATTCGAACCAGCCATCTTTTGGGGCATGGGATGATCCCCAACCAACTGGGCCACACCAGCCAGGGATCAAGTGCCATTTTCTAAACCAGTAATGATCAATGGAGAATATGAGAATTACCTCCCAGGAGGATGTCACATGCTCTCCAGAAGAAAGTTTTTCAGAAACTGTGCTCAATCCAAACTCCCAAAATTCTCTTTTGCTATCCTGGGAAGTAGAATATTGTCTCTCTCACCCTGCCTGTCACATACCGATGGGAGTGGGTCCCGTGCCTCAGTGTGCTGAGAACGTTTTTCTCAGGAACAGGAGGGACTGGCTAAGACAGGTGCCTGACATTTTCTCTCAGATCTTTTCTGATCCATGACACCCTTTAAGCACCCATCACCAAATGCACTAAAATGACAAAGACTCGCCCAGCTGGCATGGCTCAGTGGTTGACCTATAAACCAGGAGGTCATGTTTTGATTCCTGGTCAGGGCACATGCCAGGGATTACAGACTTGATTCTCTCATCATTGGTGTTTATCTCTCCCACTCCCTTTCTCTCTGAAATCAATAGAAAAGCTTAAGTGACCATTGCTACCAAACAGGCTGTGTGGGGCAACCAGGCTAGCAGGGAGGACAGTTGTGGGTGATCAGGCCAGCAGGCAGAGGCAGTTAGGGGTAATCAGGCTGGCAAGGGGCAGTTAGGGGCGATTAGGCAGGCAGGCAGGTGAGCGGTTAGGAACCAGCAGTCCAGGATTGTGCTAGGGATGTCCGGATTAAAGAGGGTAGAGGCTGCACTGAGGGGACCTTTCCCCCATGCACAAATTTTGTGCACCAAGCCTCTAGTATATATTACAAACCATAAGAACTGTACCATTACATTAAGTAGAACCCCTAAAAAAGATGGAAGACTGGATTAAAGTGAGCCTTGCCCTTCTGTTTGTCTGCATCTCAAATGGCATATATTTTACTTTATTTTGCACAGTGGAAGCCATTACTCTTGCTGATGAATTCTGGAGAGATTTGAAGTATGTCTTCCAATGATGGATGGGCTGCCTGATTCTACCAGTTTTGGCTGAGGATATGCTACAACAAGTAATACATAGTTAACAAGATTTTCAATATTATAGAGAATCAAATAAACCTCTCTAGACTAGCAAAGCTGTTTGGCTTTGGGAAGATTGCATCACACAAAGTGGTATATGCAAAATCAACTACATACACAGAAGAAGAAAGCAGAGGGGGATGAGTGAGAATGAACTCTTTAAGTCATATGGGAAGGGTAATGGGAGACTTGATTTTACTCTTTCAGTCAGCGTCCCTCCATGCTTCTTATACATTAAAGAGTATCTCACTCCATGGTGTGCATGTGTCCAGTGTTTACTACACACAGCTTGTCCGAAAACCACTCCTTCATGTGTTGTTCATCCCCAG